CTACAAATTGTGCACCCGTGTTCAGGAGCTACTTAACGGGCAAACTCTGTGGAAATTACTCATTTAGTGCTTCTGTCACGTGCATACATACGGTATGTATTTTTATTACACATACTAGAAAATTGTGCACCCCGTGCATCGCACGAGCTCTGTACTAATAAATGACCTTAAAATTGTGCACCCCGTGCATCACCCGTGTTCACATTTTGGCCTATTACAGGTCACATACTATATATATCCCGTACATTTTTTTTATTCATTTATATAATTGTAAGAATGGATAAATGACCTTAAAATTGTGCACCTCGTGCATCGCACGGGCTCTGTACTAGTGATCATAAATAAACCAACATATTTATGGTAATTTGTACCTAATTAGTTTTGGATTGGAATTAAATTAAAATCTATCCAAGCCAAATAACAAAGCATGGAATTTTGACACCTAGGATTCCTAAGCATGCGAATCTGTTATTTAGGCTCAACACATTCGAGAATTATATATAGGAGAAATTGCTAACCTTTTTACACCCTCTCCAATTGTATATCAAAACCTAAATTTCATAGTTAAATTCTTTCCAACCGAGCTACAAACCCAACTGCAAAATGGCTTGTAGCAGGACCAGTACGTTATTAGAAAAAAAAAACATTGCTACATGATATAATAACCACATGTACAATTTTGCATAAAATGATTGTCAAGGATGAACGTGACCTAAGTGCACCAATCGAAACTGAGATGGTAACGCTACCGCCGGAGGTTGAAATAGCAATAGTAAGACTGTGTATTAATTTTTATTTGTATGAATAATTACTTTATGTTCATTTTCATTTTAGTGTATTTTTATTTTTCATCTTCTACATTGTAATTTTTAATTTTTAGTGTATTTGGTTTTATTATGTAACTTTATAATTAATTTATAACATAAATTCTAAATTAAAATAATAGTGTGAATTAATTTGTAAAGCTGTAAAATATATGAGTATATTCCTAAGCTTCTACTCTTAGTGTTCCCTGCACACAATTATCACAATTATAACTCCCTTTTGTAGATTGTACCAACAAGGATAGGAATAGGTAAAAATTTAAATTTTGGTCCTATAATTTGACCATTGTCTAAAAAACCACTCCTATATTGATCACTTTCAATTTAGATACTATAATTCGTCGATTTCATCAATTTTGGTCCTTTTTTATCCGTACCCTGGATTAAAAAATGACGTAGCATGAAAACATGACAAAAATTGATGAAATTGACAAATTATAGGACCAAAGTTAACGTGTCACGTAGATTATAATCACGCCATGTAACCTTAAAAAACTGACACGTCATGCCACATCATTTTTTAATCCAGGGTCCGGATAAAAAGGACCAAAATTAATGAAATCGACAAATTATAGGACCTAAATTGAAAGTGGTCAATATAGGAGTGATTTTTTGGACAGTGGCCAAATTATAAGACCAATTTTAAAATTTTGCCGATAGAAATGCATGCTGCCATTGGTTTTTCAGCTCAAATTCTTCACTTGTTTAAGTTGTATTTAGAATTCTATTGGATATTATTTACTAAAGACATCAATGGCAGTGGTGATTTGGGACTTGTATATATCATGAAGAGAAATAACATCATCTTCTTCTACACTACAGAAGAACTCAGTTTTGCTATGGAGCCATCAAATGCATGGCTTCTGGAGTCATCCATACTTATTCACAAATAGTGTATTGACACGTGTCATACAATAACTATACTTTGGACAAGTGTCAATATATTTAAGTGATGTATGACTCCATAAAAAACCATCCGAGGGCTCCATAGAATTTTCGCTACAGAACTATTTTTTCCAGAGGCAAAGTTAATGTGTTGCTCCAGTAAAATGGAGATTATAGTTTATTTTCATTAATTTGTTTCATTTTTATTCATTTTTGTACTATTGCAAAGTTAATGTGTTGCTCCAGTAAAATCATACCTTACTAATCCTTAAATGTTGAAAGAAATGTGACTTGCAACTTTCTTTTCTCCAATTTTCATTCATAGTCAAGAAGTAATGTTGCAGCACAATAAGTCCAGCAGCATTAACTTACATGTATATTGTCTTCTTCAAGAGCTGTTGGGTCTCGTCCGCCTCTGGCTTATGCTTATGAGTCGAAGCCTCAGTTTAATATATTTTATAACAAATTCCGATGATGGTTCTATCCATTGATAGAATATTATTAGTACAATTTTAGTAACAAAATCAAATATCGGTCTTGATATCATAGGTACGAACAAATGCATTCCAATTTGTATTGTTCCATTCAAGTGTTTCATATGCTTTTTTTTTTTTTTTTTATCGATGATATTTAAAACAACTCTATATGGTTTCAATGGTCGAAACACGGTCAGGAGGTGATTTGTGAATTTTAAAAGAGTGGGAGGCAGTATGCAAACATTTCAGTTCCAAGTGCAGCCTGATGGACTCTTGAACTCATGAGTATGTTGAATCATGGTAACAATAGTAGCAACAAAGGCAACAAAAAAATAAAATAAAATAAAATAAATAACAAGAAGAAAAAAAAATTAAAGAAAAGAGCCACCCATGAGCAATGACCATAATAAGGTAAGAGAAGCAAGCAGCAAAAACATTGTACTTGTCATCAACATTACTGCAGACATACCAAAAGTACCCCATAGCCATAAATGAGAAAAGACAGTTGTGAAAAAGAAGAACTAACTCCACTCCAAATCTCAATTCTTGTCGGTCATGGTGCCCATCCAGGCCGGTGGCACCATCCCAGTCTGCTCCTGCACAGTCTTGAACAACGGCGGCAGCATCTTGTAAACTCCGGCAACTTCCTTCATAGCATCAGTACCACCAGCTTCTCCCTGGCCATGGCCGCCGTTGGTCCATATGCTGATCTTGGGCTGCAGCCCATGCACAGCTTGAGCATTGATCTTTGCAACCTCCTGAAACATGCCACCACTGATCATCAGGTAGTCCCTTAGGGCCGCATAGTTACCGCCCATTGCATCCATAAGGGTGCGAATGTAAGTCCCCTGGGCTTCCGCTAGGGCCTTCAGGCCCTCGGCCTCCTTCAGCTTGGCATAAAAGTCTCCATCCACTTTCTGCTTCCGCCCGAAAAAGGCTGCCTCGGCTGAGGCTTTCTGGGCCTCGGCTTCCTTCTCCTTTTCGTATAGGTATGCCTCAGCAGCCTTTTGCTTCTTGTACAGCTCCCAGTTGGCCTCTTGCACCTGTTTTTTTTTTTTTGGATGGAAAACAAGATCATCAGTAAATGTTTATGTTTCGGATTCACGAAAGGGAGAATATAACAGTGAAAAACAAACAAGGATCTCTTTGGATTCACATTGTTTAATTTGTTGGGTGATGCAACAAGACTCAAATTGTGTTTGGATAAATCAGAACTATGTATGCTGCTCCAACTTTCAACCAAAGAATGAAGATTGGGGTCCTCTTTTTCACTTTTGATGACTATCAGAAAAAAGGCTCAAATTGTTCTACTTATGGAAGAAACTTACAGCATCTTAAATAAGAAAAAACACCATAAGTGTAGATGACAACACTTACTGTTCATCTCCATATTTATAAATTCATATTCTATTCTACCCCCATTTTTCCAATTACCATGAGCAGTAATCAATTTAATACGAATGAACAAACAACAAGTAACAAAAGAGGAAAAAGAACCTTGGTCTCGTACTCGACGCTTGCTTTGCTCAGAAACTCGGCCTTGAGCTTCTCGGTCGTGGTCATCACGTTCATCTGCTCAACCTCCTTCTGCAGCTGGGCGTCCCTGAGCGCCACGGCCTTGTTGGCCTCGACCTCCGCCACATGCGCCTCCTTGGCCCAGCCAGCCTTCTTCTTCGCCAGCTCTGCATTGGCCTCGGCCACCTCCGCCTCCTTGAGGTTCTCAAACACCTTGACCGCCGTCCTGACCTTGATCTCCTCCTTCTTCCCGTCCCCCTGCCGCTGCGTGGAGATGATCTTTGTTTCGGCGTCGATTTTGGCCGCGTTCTGCTGCGTCTGGCCATCCCTCAGCTTGGATCCGATTTCCCCCTTCATCTTGGCCTCCGCCACGTCCACCCTGGCCTGATTCGCCGCCTCCATCTGCGTCTTCTGCCCTAGGTAAGAGAAATACTCGTGGCCGCGGACGTCGACGAGCTGCTTGACGTTGGCGTTGTAGATCCAGAGACCGAACTGGTTGAGCTCGAGCTGGACCTTCTCGAAGACCTCCTTCTTGAACTCTTTGGTTCCCCTGAAGATCTCCTCCATGGTCATGGAGGCCGCGAGGACGCGGGTCTCCCCTTCGATTACACCCTGGACGAGCTCGTTGAGGTGCCTGGAGTTCTTATCGTGGGCGGAGATGAGCCTGGCGTACTTGAGGAGGCTGTCGTGGTCGTCGGCGTGGGGGCCGATGGTGAAGACGGCGGGGAGGACGAAGGGGAGCTTCTCGGCGCTCATGGCCTGGACCTCGAAGGTGTAGTTGACGGGGGAGAGGTCGAACCTGGAGCTGGACTGGCCGGGGAGGATCCATGCCTTCTTGGCGAGCTTGATGTCTGGGATTCCGATGCCGGTGATCACCAGGTACTCGGAGGCGCTTGCGATTCTGTACATGCTTGCCGGCGTTTTTTGTTTCAATTTTTCAGAGTTTTAGGGGTGACTGAGACTGTTTCAGTGGGAGAGAAGAGAACGAATATATATATAGAGAGATATTTACGATGGGGACTGTTCCATATAGATAAGGATTTTTTTTTTTTTTTTCCTATAATTAAACAGACTGTAATTTGATTGGTCATTAATCATTATTGTATTGTATGGGGTAGTATTTCTGTTATTGATTTATTTATTACTCGAAAATATCTCTCGCAATTTTTTTTTTTTTTTTTTTTTTAAAAAAAAGATTATAAATAGGATGGAATTCGCAAGGAAATTTCTTTTATATTTTTATGACATTTAAATTTAAGTATTAATTCTTAATTTCCATGTATGCTTTATTAAAAAAAAAAA